TTTTAAATCATATTAAAGTGACTTCACATAGTTATAGTACATATAATATAGCATGTATAATTTTAAACTTCATCTCTAAGACTTTGGATACATTTTGAAAAGGAAGAGTGACATTAACAATTAATTAATTAACCAAGATTATGACATGCAATACATGGCCATTTCTTCCAATGCTTCCTTATCGAAAAAAAGGAGCTCCGTTGGCGTCTCCCTCTGCATCGCCGCCAAATAGGGCTGATAGTACCAGATGGCCTCCCTGCTCAAGCGCCATGAGCCGGCCCTCAATTCCAGTAACAATAACAGCAACAACCTGATTTTTGGGTTGTGATTCAATTCCAAGAACATCATCGTAAATATTCCGAATATGGAATCTAATTCCTGTCCATAATTCCACTCTATAGCCTCTCCCCGCATGATTAGATTCTTAATTAGCATCATTATGTCATTTATTAATCTGGGTTCATCCCATTTCTTCAGCATGTGGGGCCACAACTCTCTCATCATTGTCACCATAAATGCGTCCGAATAAATCTCTTCACCTGATCCACTCTTCTTCTGCAGACGAGGTGTCGTCATATTCGTGTGGCTGTTCATTTTTTACACACTTACTCAGACACTTTTAGGATTTTTCACAATCCAATATTTATTTTATAATCAAATATAATTTTATATTTATTTTGTTTTAATTGAAAGCATGTCAATCGCAAACAAATGAATTTATGGGTTCTGAAGTTCGTACAAACAGCCCTCTCGATTTACCAACATAATAATAAATAAAAAAAAAATTTAAATTAATATCAGACAGTAATTTCAAATATTAAATATGTTTGGTGCGAGTTTCCTTTCAGCATATAATTTATTTTTCATATAAAATACTAGTTGCACCTATCTAAAAATAAAGTAATACTACTCGTTCATATAAAACCCGGGACAGAGCAGGAAATATTTATGTTAAATGACTTAATATGATTTAAAATAACAATTATTATTTAAAGATACGATAAAAACGGTTTTCACATGAATCAAGATAGATCTTATCTGTTCTGTGTAGTTGAGGTCCACACTTAAATATAATAAATTTTCATACCACGAAATAAATAAAATGAAGCTATTGATTACTGTTTACGTTCACACTTAAATAAAATACATTTGTAAATTTTTAAATAAAATATTTATGTAATTCAGCTGTAATTTGCAAACATATGGCACCTGGGTAATCTTCAAACATACTTGCCATTGAATATCTAAATATATTTTTAGAAATTACTGCTATAATCTACAAAAAAACTTAATACATCATAAACTAAACTAGAAATTATAAGAGCTTAATAATCATGCAATAGAATTATTAGACCGGTGATTTTGTCGTTTTTTAATTTTTTTTTCAGTTTTTTGCCATTTGATACCCAATTTAGACCTTATTGTTAGATTCGTTTTCATTAGAATTTTTTTTGTGGTCATGTGTTTTTTTTTCAATAAAAACGAAAATACTATTATTAAAATAAGCAGTTAAACATTTTATCTAAATGGCTAAATCTCAATTCAAGTTGATAATGTACGTATCGGAAAGATCATGCAACTTGCCATAAGACAAAATGCCACTAACACCTAGTCAGTATAGACTTAGTCCATTTATATTTGCTTCAAATGTAAAACTTATTATTGTAATTTGAATCGTTAAAACCGTTCTGATATCTACTGTTCAACTTTCCATCCATAGATTAAAAAAGAATATGTTTCCATCTTTGCTTAGCTGAGAAAGACACCAAGTAAATTCTAAAATACCGTTAATTTTTAAAATTGCACAAACTTATTAAAACTAATTCACTGCAAGATTTTTTTTTTTAATTTTAGGCTCTGCATCTTTTAAATGGCTGGACCTGCCTTTGCTAAAAACTAATCAGCATATCTCCCTATCAATAGGGAATCGAATGTTTTTTGAACCATTCAAATCGGTTGATCCGTGCGCCCGAAAACGTTAACGAAAAAATGCGGACACACAAAATACACACACATCTATTTAGGTATACCAAAATGTTGAGAAGCCTCTGAAACGTGAAGATATGCAAAAATTTTCATTTTCTATTTTCGGCCAATTACTATAACTTACTCTACGGAAAGTTAATAATAAATAATAATTATAAATAACTGTGCAATACAGAAAAAATATGTTGTATACAGTAGATCAATGGGCCATTTTCTCTTCAAACGCTTTAATTTTTTGGCTGACTGAACTATTTGCATTTCAGGATTGACGTGTGCATCCAATTTATCTTGAGAAATTAAAATTAGGCTTCTGTTCTTAATGACTTCCTCTACTGTAGGAATTTTTAGGTCCTTGTGGATCATGTAATTGGTCATGAACCACGAAGCGCTGCAGATCATACTCAGTATTTTGCTTTCGGCTCTCTGAATTATAAGAACTTTGCTCTTGCTGGCACAGCCCCATAGCTCTATTCCTTATGTCCATATTGAAATTATTGTCACTTTGTATAATAAAAGCTTATTTTATAGAGAGAGTTTTAACTATCTTCCTATTAGCCAGTTCAGTTCCTTCGATTTTAAAACTATTTGTTTCTTTTGCATTATTATGTGCATTTTCCAGTTTAGTTTACTATCTATATGCATTCCTAGGTATACCTTTATATTATATATTTTACGGATTTGTGATTGGGAATAACTATATTATTCAAGTAAAATGCAAGCCTTGTGTGGCTTCTTATTAAAATGATAAGATGTTGTGGTTTGTTAACAATTGTTTTGATGTTTTATTTTTCTAGCCATAATTGTATTTCAGATAGAAAATATTGAAGTAAAGAAGTTGCTGCTATCACAATCTTATGATTTGAATAATGGCAATGTCATCAGCTGATTGTTAAGGCCAAACCGAATGGCATATCATTCGTGAAGAGCAGATATAATATTGGATTCAGAACACTGAAAGAAAAGTTTTAAATTTATTAGCAAGTCGTTAATTAGATAACTGAGAACACTTTTGCTACATATTCGTTTTTCAAACAGATTTGACTTCAGACATATTAAAAAAAACTAATTGCACTAATAATCAATATATTATTAATACATGCATTTTATTAGAATGTTCAGAATCTTTTTGTTAAATTTTCGTTTTGCTAAGCAGAATTTCAAGAATAATTCTGAACAAATAGTTCAAGTTTCTCAAAAATCTCTAAAATTTGGCTTTGATATCCATTTTACAAAATCTATAGTATAAAATGAACTATAGTAAAAGATTAAACAAAAATGCTGCTTACTAATCTCAATATTTGTAAAGATACCAACCAACAACATGTGATTACACCCTCTCTATTACATTCAATACCACAAAGCAACACGTGGTTTGGTATCATCAAGTGGTACCCTATGGGTAACATTAAGGGGTGGTGCCTTATTGGTAACATTGAGTGGTGCCCCATTGGTAACACTAAGTGGTACCCAACTGGCAACTGTGTTTCCACCAGAGAAAGAGCAAGAAGCTACAGAGTTCACCATCAATCAGGCAGTTCATCAACAGTCTCAATTCCGTCTCAACCAGATTCAATTCTCTATTTCATTTCTATTCTGTCCCAATTTAATATAGTCTAAATTTACGTTAACTTTGTAAAGTGCCTTTGTTTATATTGATTTATCACTGATGCAACTGGCAAATCCGTAGAATCCATTAGACTTCTCTTCAAAGACAAGTATCATCTCTGAAAATAAATCGAAAGTTTTGAGTGATGTAACAATAAATAAGTAAATATCCACATAAATTTACCTGTTGAGAAAAAATGTCAATTTCCAAAACAACTGAATTCATCCCTATCCTGCTAATGTGTTAATAAAATATAATTTGATTTACTTTTCCCAACCACATAATAATAATACATAAATGTAATAATATTTTAGATAGTAAAAGATAATTATAAGCAAAATAGTTTTTGTATTATGCATCTATTCACTTATTAAAGAAAAATTAATAAAAATAATAATGAAAGTCTTCCATCCTCTTCGTCAGTGGATTAAACACACAACTTATTTAAAAATATACAAAATCCACAAAAAATGAACAAAAGCCTTGCTTAATGGTCATATTTACGAAAAAGAAGATATTAAAAAATTAAACAAAAATTAAATAAAACTTATTCATGAGTATGGAAAGTAATGTGAAAGTTGTTAAAAAGCCTATTACATTTGTTTAAATATTACATTTTTAGTTTTTACTTTTTATTAATTGGATAGATGACTGTTAAAAAATCTTTTTTGTTTATTAATAGAAGAAATATACACAGATATAAGAAAGGTATTTTATTTAAAGTCAGTAATAAGTTACTTATATAAATATTAGTTACATATAGTGGAATAAATATTATAATAAAATACACACAACAATAAATGAATAAAAAAGGTGAAATAAATAAGTTAGTAGTGCAAGCCAATTAATTGAGAAAGAAATAAAGTCAATGCATAAATACAAAAAAACTTATTTCGAGTAATGTTAAAACATTTGAAACCAATAATTATAAAAGATATTAGTAAATAAATGTTTTCTCATATTAGAAGGTTTGAGAAAGTTTAGCTGACTAAATCTATACATGCCAGATATAAAAGGATAGTTAAAAAGTGTCTGCAATCAAAATTTTTGTAAATAATTGAATTAAGCTCTTTTGATATAATATAATAAAACATTATCATTTGATTGCAAACAATATAAATAATTAAATAAACACATTTGAGTTGAATTACTTTTTTAATTATAAATTAAAAAGCCTTTATATAAATCAGTATTATTTTGGAGTAAATCGTTTATATCTTTGTGGTAATATAGTACTGTATCTGCAGTAATATAGTTGACAGAATGGTAGGAGATTAACAGCACAGAGAGAACCCAGAAGTATTTGAAAACAAAATCGCAATGTGTTAAGAAATAGATATGCAAAAGTTATCCAAGGATTCATTCCCAAACAGTAATAACTACTAATGTTGGCCTTCTTCGGCAAATCTTACTGGATACTAACTCCAACTCTCTTCTGTCCTTCTATCTCACTTTGCATAACTCCCTTCATTGAAGCCTTATCAACTCCAACAATTTCCTTAAAACCTTCTTTGGGATCTGCGCCAAATCCTAAAATATCATTCACAATATCGGCACAATTGGGATTATCCAACATTGTTCTGTGATTGCCTTCGACTACTTTAATTTCCATTTCTTGAATCAGAAATTCGTCCATATCATAATTCTCTGCGGCATCTCGCATAGAAAGAACAGTTGGCTTAACTAAAGTTACACGAGATTTGATTTTTTGTTCTCGCAAACGTGATGTGTCGTTGTATTTGGCTGATCGGCATCTCACCTGGTAAAAGAAAAAATAAATAAATTCTAGTATGTATTTATTGACCTCAGCATTTTAAACTGTTATTAGTAATTGATCATCAATACTATTACTTATTAAACTTACCAACATGGCTTCACACAGCTGCCTAACATAAGTCTTAGAATATTTGCTTCTCTGCTCATCGTTCGCTTCAATGGAATCTGTCATTGCAACTACCCGCTCTTCCCAAGTTTTAGTTTTAATCAACGTTTCCTGAATGACATCCATGTTACCAGGTGAAAGAATTCTACGAATTGTAAGCAACACCTAAAAATAATTTTATTAAACATTTGTTAAGTCCAATAGATATATTACTTTGTTACCTGAATCTGCAAATATGTATCATCATCAGCTGTACCACCAACAACATGCACATCTACCAATCCTTTCATTACTGCAGGAGCACCGTCCAAAAGAACTAAGTTGACATTTATGCCACGAGCTTCTAATTCTAGCATGGCTTCTAAAATTGGAAGTGTGCCGAAGGAATAGGCTACTATGTTAAGCGGTTGGTTAAGATCCTGCAAACAAATGATATTATGATAACGCCAATTTTAACTGTTAGAGTTCATAATGTAACTAGCTGTAAGTGGAATTGTGTCTTGAGGCAATTATGGCATCGTGCATTAAGGCAAATTGCTGGAACTTCCAGTACCGTAACGAAATGTTCGAGGAATACTGAATGTTTTCAAATAAATTATTATAAATATTGTAACATTGTCTAATATTTATAAGAATTATATAAACTGAATTGCAGAGTTGAAATTATTTGTAAAGTATATTAGAACTATAGTCAGAATTAAAAATAAAATCTGAAATATTTTCGATATACAAAAAACTAAAAAAAAAAAAAAAAAAAAAAGTTGGAATTTTTTTTTTTCAAAAATCAATTATTTTGTTAAGACAAGCAGAAAGTTCTTTGAATCATTTGAATCGGACGCTTAGTTCTCTCAAAAACTGCCATTTTTTACATATTTAGCTCCGTATCTTCGAAATGGCTGGGCCTGCCTTTGCCAAAAACTAATAAACACTTCTCCCAATCATTACTAATTGAATGTTTTTTAGATGATTCAAATCGGATACTCCGTTCTCTCAAAAATTCGATTTCTATTTTCTGCACTCTTTGCTCCGTATCTCCGAAACGGCTGGACCTGCCTTTGCCAAAAACTAATCAGCTCTTTTCCCTATCAATAGGAATCGAATGTTTTTTAAACCATTCAAATCGGTTGATCCGTGCGCCCTAAAACGTGACTGGAAATTTGTATCCATAGATATATACACACACACACATACACACACACACACACACATCCATTTTTTCTGAGGTATGCCAAAACGTTCAGAAACCTTCAAAACGTCGAGAAATGTAAAAATTTTCAATTCCAATTTTCGGCCCATTACAATAACTTACCCTACGGGAAGTTAAAAAATAAGATTTTCACTTGCCTTATGTAAGTCCAACATATAAGGCAACAGCGCTTGTCCCATCTCTCTGATATTGTTTCCTTTCTGAGGAACTGTTAATTGCAAACATTCTACTCTTGCCTTCAATCTACTAGCAAGAGCTCTGAAGACAGATGCAGCTCCTTCAATCCCTGGCACTATGAACACGAGAGGCTTCTCGGATTCACACTGACTTGTCAGATGAACCACGGGCATACTGGCTACTTCTTCAGAAGTCACACCTTCCATGAGAAGGAGCAATCCGCGCATAGGATCCACCTCGGCGGGATTTGCAGCTTGAGTTTCTATCATATAATTTATGTCCAAGTCAATAAAAATGGTTTATATACTAATTGCATTAGCTATTGACACACTGTATTTACCTCCTTCAGCAGCTTGTTCTGAAGATATATCTCTAGCAGTAGCTAATTCTTGCAACCGGGCAAAAGTTAGAGATCTAATATCTTGTGGTGTTAGGAAAACTTCAAATTCTCGTTCTAAGGCTTGTTTGATTTCTACGGCCATCAAAGAATCCATACCCAATTCAGCCAATGAGGAATGAGGACTTACGGTTTTTAAATCTCTTAAACCTAAAAAATAGCATGAAGTGTGAATGTAAGATTTAAATAGTGCATAAGCTTATAGTAACTTATTTATTTCTTATATTAATCTGACTTAAATTACGTCTTTAGCATCTTGCTCAAATTCTTACCAAGGATATTAAGAACGGTTGGCACAATGCCACCAGCACCACCTGCTCCAGTAGCTCGTTTTTCAGCTACAACCATAGAGGCTACGACAGGGTAAGACTGAGCTAATAGAATATCCATCGCTTCTAAACAGCTCCCAATCCTTTGTTGCAATGTTCCTCCAATCTCCAATTCTTTATGGTCATCCTAAATATTAGAAAACTAGCTGTAAGTGGAATTCTGTCTAAGGCAATTAGGGCATCGTGCCTTAAGGCAAATTGCTGAAACTTCCCGTACCAAATTTTTTATTTTTTTAAAAAACGATTAACATTTTTGAAAAAAAAATTACTTCGAAAAAATAAGATTTTGAGTGAGAACTATAAATTTGACATAAAATTACTTTTTTTTGAAAAAAAAAATTGAAAAAAATTATTAAAAAAAAATTTTTTTTTTAAATATTTTTTTTTGAAAAAAAAATGTTTCTTTATTTTGACAATGTTGGAAGATCTGAAACTTTTTTTCAAAGCAATCGTACTGCTTTACTGCATAGAGACAAAATATAAAACGCGTAAGCGCCGCGTCGCTGTCTAACGGGAAACATTGGTACGGAACCCATAGGAATGTGAACAAAATTATACTTATGTTAAAATCTCTATAAAATATCTGATAATTTGATGTGCAATGTCTAATGATCATTTTTGACCGCCAAAGGCATTTTTTTTTACTTTTTCGTTAGATCTCCGAAACGCTAAACTGCCCTTATGAAAATTTGATCAAATCTTCATCTTGTCAATACAGTAAAATGTTTTTTTGAGTTATTAAAATCGGACGCTCCGTTCTCTTAAAAACTGAGGTACCGTTTTGGTCACTTTTTGCCCCATATCTTCGGAACGGCTAGACCTACCTCCGCCAAAAACTAATCAGAACGTCTCCTTATCAATACGAATCGAATGTTTTTTAAATTATTAAATCGGTTGATCCGTGTTCCCGAAATCGTCGACGAAAATTTTATCCGCACACACATACATACACGCAACACACACACATACACACACACACATACATCATTTTTTCTAAGGTATGCCAAATGTTCAGAAACCTTTGAAACGTCGAGAAATGCAAAAAATTTTCATTTCGATTTTTTTGCGATTACTATATAACTTGCCTACGGGAAGGAATATATTAGATAAAAAATAATCGTTGGATCAAAGGCCATAAACGATTGTTATAGTTAATCAATAAAGTAGCAAAATTCTATTGTCACATCGTGTAGACAAAATTTAAGGAAAGATCAATGCAAACATAGTCATAAACAATTAATTAGATTTACAGTTGTGGAAAATGAATATAAATAATGTAATTTTTTATATTTATCATATTTTCTCAAATTGATGGAAGATATGTGGCATTGTGGCATAACTTATTAATATTGTGATATTTTACCTGCATGTCAGCAACCAATCCAACTTCACCGACAGCTCCCCATTGTATAGCTAAAGCTGGAAATCCTGCCTTGTGACGATTTTCGCAAATTCGTTCCATTACTGAATTAGACATACCGTAGTTGCACTGACCAGCATTACCTCTACCACAAGAAACCTGTAATAAAATTGAACCTAATTAATCAACTTCATTTAAACTTTCGATCAATCAATCAATTTAAAATACACACGCGACTTTACGTAGTCTGTAATAAAAAATTTAATATGATTTACAATGAAAATTTTAAAATATATTCCCGATAAAAATAAATTTAGAAAAAAGCCGAAAATTATTTTAGAATTTGGAACGTAGCAAAACAGATTTGGAAACAAAACTTGTGGAAAATCACACACCTACTTGATATTTATATATCAAGCTGATTTTATTGAGCAAACCATGCTTTTCAACTAATGTCATCTAAAAATCTGAATTTGTAAAACTGAGCATCGTTTATATTTTTCATATAAAAATGTACCTACACTAATTAACAAATTTAATATTAGTGCTTATTTAAGATTTGCAGATTTTTTACAAAATAATTTAATAAAAAAAAAATAAACATAATAATTATTATTTTTAAAAATAAAAAATGTTATTGTTAATTTATTACTTAAGGGGGTATTCTACTGTAGAATTTTGAAAAAATCCAAAAATTTTTTTTTTCATATTTTCAAAGTTTAGTTATTCAAAAATATGTCATTAAAAGGATTTTCCAAAATTACTATTATTTCCTGAGTTATAGCCGTTTTCGTGACGTGGCCTCGGTTCGGGTCCGACTTGTCTCAAAACTTTGAACGCGTTTTTCTCGGAACTACTTTTTTCGAGGTAAGGATATCTCGAATTCTAATGAACCGATTTACTTCAAATTTGGAGAAAATTTTCCCTATACATCGCTTTATCGTATGGACCTTGCCAAAGCTATAACTTTTCATTTAGTATTTTTAAAAAACTCGGAATTGTTAAAAAACATGAAAAAAAAAATTTTTTTTCAAACTGCCGCCATTCAAACAAATTTTTTTTTTTAAACTTATCCAAGGTTCATACGATAGCGGCATCTATTATAATTAAAAATCCATCTATTTTTTATGTTTCAAATCACCAGGAGGGTTGGAATCATGTACGCCAGGGCACCCTCTTTTTTTGGGAACCCCCACTTTGACTGCTCATAACTTTGTGAATTTTATTTTTTTCTTTTAATATTTATTTTATGTAATAATAAAATATCAATAAACAAATGATAAAAAAATCGATAGTAAAAATATTATTTGTTTCCTTTACACAGCGCTTCAAAAACCGGGCGAAATTCATGACTCTACAGTAGAATACCCCCTTAAAAACTTCATACGGTTCATTTTCAAACTCACTGATGAAAAGACGACGAAATATTTCAATAACGGACACAATTCCCTTGTAAGTTCATCCAAATGTTTTGTAGCTACAGCTTTCGGCGCAAATGATGCTGTAAATTTCTCAACATTTTGATTTTCCAAAATAGCATCTTCAAGAACTACTGCTAAATTGAAAATGCCTGTAAACAATATAAAGATTTAATATGAATAATAGGCAGTTCTCCCTATAAGAAGATTTATTAGTATTAAGATAGTAAATTAAGATATTTGTCTTATTATTAATATGATAAAAGTAGTATTGTAAGATAAAATTTACCTGCAACTGGTGCAATGGACGAGGCCATATGCAAAAGTTCATAACAGCCTTTTCGTGTTGTGATATCAGCTGTGCATATATCAACTGAAATACCATAACTGCGCCATACTCTAACCCTAGAAGCCTATAATTAACAGTACATTTTTAGTACCTCAATTGCACATTGGAATTATAAATTGTAGGTTACTCTACCTGGTATCCTGATTTAAGTCCTTTCCGAGAACTCAAAACCAGATGTCTAGCACCTCTAAGAGCAAGCCAATCAGCCAATTCTAAACCAAAACCTCCAAGACCTCCAGCAATTACATAACTCTTGTCAGGTTCACAATAAACTCTTGGACTTGCCAGCCATTGTTTATTTTCAGGCACAAAATCTTCTTCTGGTTCTTCCTCACGCATTTTCAACAGAACCTAAATAATTTTAGTTTATATAGTATAAGTCACTGATTGTGCTTGAAAACTTAAAAAATTAAAACCGAGATATTATGTTGCAATAAAAAATTGGTACTGCTCGTGGGAAATCAGAGATAGAATTTTCAAGGTAGTCTCTTAAAAAAAGCACTATGCTTACGAGCAATGCAATATTGATGATAGTTAATATGGTGCTATTTTTAAGTATACAATCCAAAGATCTTTAAAAAGTATTGTTAAAAAGAATGTATAACAAAAATTGGATCTATTCTTGAAACTCATACACATCTTGAAAAGGACAGAGTTGAACTGCATAATTTTGAGCCGAAGAGAAACTGAATTAAACTCAATACAAAACTACAATATGCTATATGATTATATAACAGTAATCATACTTAACTATATCAGTAGTCATCACTTTTTATTTATTATTTTAAAAAATTGTGCAGGTTTTTGCATTCTGAAGAACATTTTTTGCAAAGCCTGACCAATATTTAATAATGTATAAGTCCAATGACTATAATTGTACAATTTGCTTTAAACTAAAATAAAAATTTAACCTTTCCAATATGTTTTCCTGCTGCCATATAACGGAAAGCTTGCTCAACATCGTCTCTATCAAATACTGTTCTTGACAAAGGTCGCACAGCTCCTGTTGCAATACCATCATTCACCATTTTTCCTGCAGAAAAAAAATTATAATAATTTGTTAATATTAATTTTAGTATCAAAATACATCACACTTTCCCTGTATTACCTATTCTGTGTTTCTCCCAAGCCTCAGCAGTAAACAAATGCTCCAAGGTAACTCCATGGAAAGAACTGCAATTCATAAATGTTCCTAGACCCAATGGGTTATCGCTTGCCAAATCAAATTTGCCGATTTCCAAAAATCTTCCATGGGGAGCTAAGCATCTCAAAGAAGCCAGAAGTTTATCTTCAGCCAAGGAGTTCAAAACAATGTCAACTCCGCGACCGCCAGTTCTTCTCATGACAAGTTGTTCAAAACTGGTGTCACGGGAATTGCCAATGTCTTGATCTGAAAGGAATTATCATTTACAAGATATCTTAATACAAAATACATCAGAAGAAAGAAACAAGTAGAAACGTATTAAATAGACATTATAAAAAAAAACTTGAATTCTTGGAAATGGCAAAATAAAGCATAAAGCTATAATATATATTAGAGTGCATATAATGTCCTATTGCCAAAATATACATTACCATCTAATTCAGGGAACCTATCCAACAAGAACTGTCTCTTTTCCTCAGTTCCAACAGTAGTGATAATTTTACATCCTGCATGGAGACCGATGTTGATAGCAGCTTGACCTACACCACCACTTCCTGCATGAATTAGCAAGGTTTGACCAGCAGTCATGTTTCCAGCTAATACTAAAGCATAGTAAGCTGTTGCATATACTACTGGGACAGTAGCTGCATCCTAGAAATGAATAATCCTTACGGTAATTGTAGTTGCATTTATTTGGGTGTATTAATTAACATTGTTTTCGTAATTTTGGAGAAATTAATACTGATAATGTTTTTAATTTACCTGTAAAGTCCAATGAGATGGAATGCCCCAGCATAGAATGGGATCAACATCCAGAATTGTGGCCAAAGCACCGCTTCCAACCAAACCCATAACTCTGCGGCCTTCGAAATAAAATGATTGTGAATAAATTCTTAAGCAACTTTTTATTGTGTTACATAAATATTAAACATACCATCTACTTCCCTTCCAGCGTATTCTAAGCCTTGAACACACATCTGGTTAAGTCTTCCATGAGAAACTACTTCTGCAGCCAATTTACCAGTTGCTGTCATGATATCTCTGAAGTTCAGGGCTGAATAATAAACATGTACTAAGTTACCGGCATTGGATTCTGTATCTTCAGTGCCATATCTAAAATAAATAAATATAACATTGTTTCAAAATAAGAATATAATTAAAGAAACCAAATTGACTTACTTCAAAGGTCCTTCAATCCATCTCATACTTGATAAATCTCCTCTAGTCATAACATTGGCATAACTGTGTCCTTTATCAACCAAGGAATCCTTGACTTGCAAATGCCGATAAGATCCCCAGCATCCATCTTTGAAAACATTGGATACTAAATCCAAATCCAATTGTTTACTGTATAGATCTAATTCAAGATCAAATGCTGGTGCTTTTGGATCAATGATTACTAGAGATCGAACTAAATCACCACCTTAAGAAGTAAAGACAAATTAGTCGGTTGCACAAAAAAATAAGCTAGTAAAATATGTACAACAGAAAAAAATTTTATTTTTACCTGGCTCTTTTCTGACACAATTCACCAGTCCCATGATACCATTAGTATTCTGTTTCTCATTTAGCAATAAAATTCTACTATCGGCTATTTTAATTTGAGACTTTAATTCTTCTAACCAGCTAAACTTCTCATCACTTTCATCAACTTTAATAACATGCCATGGTTTAGTCTTGTGAATTTTTCTTTGGAACAATAATAATATTTCGTGTGGCAATTTGTAAGATGCTACTAGATTTAATCCTGGACAAATGGCCGAAATCGCAGATGCGTCTAAGGAAAATGATAAATCTTCACGTGATATAACATAACCATTTGCACGCAGAGTTGGTAATGCCTTTTCAAGGTCCTATAACAATTTTTTGTTTATTTAAAACTGGAGTACTTAAATTTAAAAATAATAACTTTTAAAGTTAATTTACCTCTTTCTTATTTAATAGTGCTGTACCAATCAACAATGTGCTTTTACCATCTCCTGGTAACTTCTTATCTTCTGACAAATGAACACCAGCGCCTAAATCTGCGTTTTGTTGTTCTGATGGATTAGCAGTTTCTGCCCAAATTGTCATATCACTTTGCACTAGTGGCAGATCCTCTAAAGCAGACCTTAAGATTGGAGATAAAGGTATTTCCATTGAATTAACTTGCAAGTAATCAATTTCTGGCTGATCGCTGGAATCGCCTTCTTCCTTTTTGGGTACTTTAGGAAGTTTATCGACTAATTCAAATGCTTTGACTTTTAATATAGGAATATTTTCGAGAATCTGTTGCACAATACATCTAAAAACAATAAATTAAGTATTTTTATTATATTACATTATTTATTTATTTCGATAAAAGTATCTACCTCACTGCATCATCAACACAATCAGTTTGCAAGTGGTTTGGTACAAAAACGTGCTTTTCTAATACTGGTTCACCTGCTGGCTTCTTTCTTGCAATTGCACTAGCTTTTAAACCACAAATTTCAACACCGCCAGCTCTTATAACACCTTGCAAAAAAATGCAAATACATGTAAAATAATTAACTTACAAACATAAATAAAAAATAGAATTTCAATTATAAAAGAATCTTTAATTCTTTTTTACCTATATCTGGATGCAGCTCAACTTTGAAGGTTCTATCCTCTCCAAGAGCATGAATAGCATGGATATGGGCACGTGTATCAATTTTCAATTTTCTGATTGAAGTAGGAACAAACAATCCTCTTGTATCTTCACAAAGAATTTGAAGCTGCATCATGCAGTCCATAAATGTGACCCAATTATGAGCCCATAATATGCGACCATCACAAGTTTGCTGATCGTAAGATACTACACCTTTGAAAGCACCGCTAGAAAGAAATAATTAAATTTATCTAAGTATTTACTACAAAGACAGAAATTCCAAATGAATTGGATTGGATTGAATTTGCCAACACCAAATGATTATATAACTCTTTATACCTGTAATTATATCCCCTCAATCTCAATTCTTTATAAACATCTTTAGCAGCTAATGGAATAGAATCTGGGAAAGTGTCTCTAATAACTCTTTCTGGCAAATCAGGCAACTTGGTTTGCCTAACACCAGGGTGGTAAATTGTACCAGTTACAATGGTAGTTCCACCTTCAAGAACCTAGATAAATGTAAATCAACTATCAATAAAAGTAAAGATGATCAAATTTTATGTAACTTATGGTAAAACTTAAGGTTTTCACGAGAACTATCAAAATCAAATAATGTATCAAAAATCCTTATATTTTAGGTTTGATTTATAACTCACAATTTAACTTATGAATTTGATAAATATATAGATACAATAATATCTACTTAATATTATTTATTACCTCGAATTTTCCGGTGCCTTTTTGAATCATAATATCAAAATCAATCTTGCCATCTTTAGGAACATTGGTAGCGCGCAAAAATCGAATGTCCTCAAAAATGCAAGGAACTTCTGTTAAGATTTCACCACGCATCATAGCAAATGTTTCCCATACTAAAGTTAAATAACCAGTAGCAGGGAATAAGTTACGTCCATCTATAACGTGACCGGTCAAGTATTCATTTTCTTGATCAAAAGCGGAAATGCAGATTGATCTTTCGCCTGTTTCTAATTTTTCCAAAGTCTTGTAGGAAGTAACATACCTAGCAAAAATAAAAATAAATAGAAGATTAATTATAATTTACAGATTTGCTACAGATATCATGAATCTTACCAATCTCGTCCGTGATCCCATCCAATCAAATGGGACAACATGGGTGTGCCTCTACCCACGGGCCACTCATGCCTATACAACTGGTTAATATCTACTTTTTCGCCTAAACAATGCAATTTCCCATAGTTTCCAAAAATTGTCCAGCTACATCACATTCTTCACCTCTTCTGACATATAAACTTGCATAAGTCAAGCATTCAATCGATTCTTCTAAAACTCCTTTAAATTGTGGCATGAATGAGTTGATTTCAAACACGTACGAATTTCCAGGAAATTTGGATAAAGCTTGCTGGAGTAAATTTGGATTGACTAAACTATTCACATGATACAATGCGTTATGAGTTGAGTATTCGTTTTCTGTAGAAGTAGATACCCATCTCTCAGATCTTGCCAACGTTTCAAACATTGTACTCTGGTATGCCCTCAGCAAATCATCAGAAAAGTTCTTTCATGAACTCTGAATTATGGAATGAACAACGGTTTCTTGAGATATGTTGTCGTGTTCGATTCCTTTAGAATCCAAAAATTTGAGGAAGGCTGCTACATCCTTTTTGTGGCCACTGACTAATGTTGATTCAGGAGTTAAATGACATGTGACACTGACACCTTCGGTTAAAGGGATGATACTATAAGACTGGACCGGTGGACAAAAGCAGTGTAGAGAGGGCTGGTAGGCGATATTCAGCTATAATGCGAGATCTAAATATTTAGAAATATTATATATAATACAAATAAAATGGAATATAGTGTTTAGTCAATCAAAATCAAATCTGTATTTCTAAATAACTATTAACAAATAACTAATCTCAAAAATATTGAAAAAAGTATGTTTATTATAAAGTCAATTTTATGATATAATTGATATGAGATAAAATTTCTATAAAACCTAATTTTTTATTCGATGTTATATTTCTAATTATAAATTAATTATATTCAAGAAGTGCTACCCAAAAATTTTAAACCATTTACTCTTTGTCCTTTGAATTAGAATTTGGTTTCATATTAAAAAGAGGATTGTATATATTAAATTTTTAATATATGCAAAATAAACAAGGCTTTACCAGAAAGAGTGTTATTTTGAAAAAAGATCATGAAATAAAGTATAACTGAATTTATTGAATAAATCAATAGTATTGTATGCAAATTTCTCCACACTTTCAAAGTCAAGTGCAATGCACTTTAAAATTTAAATTTATTTATGTGTGCGTATATATATATATATATATATATTTATATTTATTTATATATGTATATATATATATATATATATATATATATATATACATAGCTGGGCACCGTTAATCAAAAAGTTAACTTCGTTAATCGTTAATCCGCTACAAAAAAAGTTAGCTTCGTTAAACGTTAAAGCGTTACATTTCGGAAAAAATAACGCAAGTTAAAGTTAATCGTTAATCCGTTAATATGTGTAAAATTACATTTTTATATCGTTGCGTTAGTGAACTTAAACTTATTGGTTTAGGTTCTGGAAGTTAACAGGTTATGAATAAAACAAAATACTTGTATAATTCAAATGTGTAATTTAACCCCTTAATGGCGCGACGCGCTTTATGCACACACCGTGATAATAACGCTCTTGGTCAACTTTCTATTTTTATGATTGCATATTGTTTTTACAAGGATTTTTTTCTAAATAAAGGGAAAGAGCATTGGCTAAAGCTGTGCCGTGCGGTAAATAGTAGGCATTGGCAGGACCAGGGTATGTGGCCGCCTGGGTGCGAGCATATAAATGGCCGCCCTTAAAAATAGCATAATAGGAAAATATCCAATATGTTCTCACGGAAAAAAATCGTCTTGTAATTTTCATGTTTTTCTCGACATTTTAAGTCATTCTGAATCGTTTTGAAAGTCGATTTTTGACTTTTCGGCAACGTTTTCTCAAAAAACGGTTAAATCCAATTCAAAAAGTTTAAAAGACATTTGATTGTAACTAGATAATGACTAGCGCCTGTCAGTTTGTGCGACGATCGGTCAAGCTGTTTCTAATCAACAGAAAAATATAAAATTAATTTGTACACGTTTTAGCCAAAAATTTCTGCATCGATTTTAAAAATTCAGGAACTGTTTGAAAGATATCTTTAGGAACTCGTGCTGATTAGTTTTAAGAGATCGGTCGGTTCGTTTCTTCGTGTAGTTGGTGAATATGCTTTTACGATGATAATATAAAATTTTTTGGCGAATAGTGATTATGGTCTCTAAGATAACTAATATTTCGACCCTACATTAAGTCATTTTAATTTTTAAAATATGTACTATCAAAGATTGCAAAAAATGAGCAGCGCTTTTTTACGTGAGTCAAAATTTCATCTTTAGTCGACCTTTTCTCAAAAATGCACAATCCCATTTGAAAAATCGTCAAAATTCGTAAATTCGATAAGCACTCGTGCTGCTTAGTTTTGCCTTTAGAATTTTCAAAAAAGTCTCAAATTTTTCGTCCACGTTATAGCCTACATTAGTGAATTGATTTTAAAAATTCAAAAACCATTACAAACGTTTTCCATTTGAGAATCTTGCTGATTAAATTTTGTCAATAATCAACGAGTCGTTTTTCTGTTATTGATTAACAAATTGCTTTGGAAATTTGGATCTTGTTTTTAATTTACAATCTTGTTATGAATTAATATATTTTCATTGTTAAGTCGACTATTAACACATGTTGGATACTTCGTGCAACTTGATTTAAGCAAAGTTGCCACTTACACCAAGTTTATAACTTATATATTATTTAGAAACAGAGTCGCATTCAATAGGGCCGCCTTTGGCTGATTTTTACTACGGTAATTTTGGTCTTTTAGATATATACAGCGGACTTTACGGCAGCGAATGAGTTCAGCGGACTTTGAGCTTGGCCGCCTCTTAATCCAACAGTCTTTTAATTTGGCCGCCTTTTAATTCAGTAGACTTTTAATGCGATAGCTATTTATTTCGACCATTTTTTGTTATGGCCGTCTTTGAATTTGTTCTTTTTTTCATTTGGCCGCCCCTCGGCCGCCTGCGTGCGGTGCACGCACTGCACGCAGGCCAGGCACGGTCCTGGGCACTGGATTAACGATTAACGGACTTCTGGCATTTTAACGGAAGTTAACGTGTCCGTTAACATTTTCAAAAGTTAACTTAAAAGTTAATCCGTTAATCAAAATGTTAACTTCGTTAATTAACGATTAACGGATTAACGAGTTAATGCCCAGCTATGTATATATATAAATATAAACTTATCCATGCATAAAAACATGCACGCACGCATACAAGCAGATACACACACATATATATATGCCTTGAGTTAGGTTTACCTTAAAGTATTCGATTTGATGAAATTTTAGTGATATAATAATCAAAGATAAAATATTATACATTTAGATTCATTATTACCTCAAATAGGCAGCCGTCAAAGTCTGTTCCAGCGTCAAACATCCATCCGTAAAAGCACACAGAATTTCACCAGCTCCTTGTCCAATTATAACAGTAGGCTCAACTTTTAAACTTTTCAAAAGTTGTACAATGCCAATCTGAACAACTGTCGAAGCCACGTGCTTCTCTACAAAATTTCGGGACGCTCCAAAATCTACATCCTCAACCATCTTTAGCAATTGAATACTGAACTTAGCCAAAAATTTATTACTACGTTCTATCACTTCTTGGAACACAGGGAAAACAAGTAAACCTCTAGCCAAAGTAGGATTGTAGTCATACCCGGAGAATAGGAAAACAGTTTCTTTTTTAGACACGTTGTCAATCATAGCATCACTTCGCGATATTTCGTAACCACGTTTATCCAAAACTACAAAACCACGATAATCATGCCCTTCAACGCCGTTCTTAAAAGCTGCTTGAACAAGTTGAACAACGTCCAAATTTATTTCATCACCGGTATTGGCAGGTTTTGGGTAAATAATTGAAGATTCCTGATGAATTCCATCAAGGAGCATATCAACTGCAGATTTTGTACGTCCAGAAACACAGATCAGGTAAGGAATTTTAAGCTCTGATACATTATTCTCAACGCGTTTTCTAGCCAGAAGATCTTCAGGTGATTTTAATAAAACGTGCACGTTTGCACCTCCAAAACCAAAGCTGTTAATACCAACATACCCTGTAAGTAAAAAAATCAAGACTCTGATATAGCAGTTAAGTTTTTAAGATTTTTTGTTTAAGGTATTTGAGAACTTACCTCCCTCAAAATCTTGTGGTTCAGTCACGACTTGCATTCTGCCTTCAACAATAGCAGTCAATTCTTTTTTAGGTGTTTCGAAATGGAGATTTGGTGGAATTTTTCCTGTTTCCATAGCTATGCACACTTTGACAACAGAAGATATACCTGATGCCGGTTCTCCATGTCCAATGTTAGATTTCACAGATCCAATGGGAAGAGGTTTGTCGCGACCAGTGCAGAATATCTAGTAAAAATTGAAGTAATAATTCTGAGAGTACCCAAATAATGCATGCAATAAGAAGACTGAAAACATCCAGGTATTATTTACTATTCCTAATATTGATCATTCGTTATTTGATCTCTTACCTCATCTAAAGCTCTAATCTCCTCTGGATCTCCAACTCTTGTACCAGTTCCATGAGCTTCCATAAATGTGACTTTTCTAGGATCTACCTCACATTCTTGATAGGCTTCTCGTAGAAGTTTAGCTTGCATTGTTCCTGATGGAAAAGTGATGCCTTGTTCTTTGTAACCATCACATTTGATTTGGCGTGGACAAGTTGTGCGTAGATTCTTTTTGCATCTTTTGCCTGTTGGAGGAGGATGAAGGAAACGCCTTCACTGCGGGCGTAACCGCGGGCACGTTCGT